TGTCTTTTTGGAGTGTAATACCAATTTCGTTATACACATATATTTATGTATGTATCTCTCTCTCTGTGTGTGTATCTGTATATGTGTGAGTTTATCTTCTTTGGGAATTTATATTTTCCCATTATCTATATCTGTATGAATATATATATATATATATATATATATATATATATATATATATATATATATATATATATATATATATATGTATATATATGTGTGTGTGTGTACTACATATATTTATACACACACACAAATATATATATAAGTGCATGTGTGTATTTTTGTGTCTACACATATATTTACACACACACATATGTATGTATATGTTGTATATGTGTGTGTACGTAAGTATACGTGTGTGTGAGTGTATGTGTGTGTATATATGTGTGTGTATATATATGTATATATATATATATATATATATATATTATATATATATATATATATATATATATATATATATATATATATATATATATATATATATATATATATGTGTGTGTGTGTGTGTGTGTGTGTGTGTGTGTGTGTGTGTGTGTGTGTGTGTGTGTGTGTGTGTGTGTGTGTGTGTGTGTGTGTGTGTCGCGCATGTGTGTTTCTTTATGTGCGGGTGTATGGTACATTTAAAAAACTTGCTTTTAGGGATAGCTGAAAATTATGTAAGGAAGGGAAGATTGCGGATATAATTCAAAGTAAAATTCGCCTAGCAAGAGGGTTGTAAACTACTGCCTTTAAGGATTAGTCAAAATGCAGTACTATGACGTTGCATTTGACAATTTAATGATATATGTTTTAAATTGGAAAGCGGAAAACGAATCCCACTTGGTTATGGCGGCCGTACATACATACATCCACACATACTATACATACACGATATACTTTCCCTTCCTTCCGGTCAGGACACCGCGACCTTCGCCTTGAAGGTGTCAATTAAACCGCCTTTGGATCGTCTCATCATGGCGTCCAAAGTATAGAAGGAAAAATAGACATAAACATATAGAGGGACATATAGATAGAAAAATAAAGTATAAATTGAAAAAGATGGAAAAAAAGGCCCCAAAAATATCAAGGAAAGCTTATTAAAACTCCTAGACTGATAGGCTCTCTCTCTAAAACAGGAGCGTTATTCGTGGTCCAAAATTCTATCAATTCCTTGGAATTAAGCGGACAGATGAACACTTCAATAGACATACACTCCGCAATTATTGTCTAAGTCTTTCTATTGTTATTTTTGAGCACATATACATACACCCTATGGATATATTTTATTTGTGTTATATGTATGTACACATACACATATATTACAAATATCTATGTAGAGATTTTTCAAATACATACACACAGAAATATGCATATATATATACACATGTATAAATGAGCATACATATATACCTTTATATATACACACATATACACTAACACTATAATTCGAAGTGAGGAAGGTCTAACAAACACAATGGTATATAACCGCAAAAATAAGAGAGTATATTATTAAAGTCATATATCTGTAGTACAGCAACACTTCCTAATGAAGAGTAATTCAACTGACCTTATGCATTCAACATTTCTCTTTTTTGTTTGTAACATAAGTTTAATATTTTTTTTTTTTTTTACAATATATGCATAGGTGTTTTGTATGTGAATTTAAACATTTTCCGCGATTCAACTGGTGATATATATTATATATATATATATATATATATATATATATATATATATATATATATATATATATATATATAGTGTCTATTATAGCGCCATTAAAAAAGAAAGAAAGAAAGAAAGAAAGATGAAAAAATATATATACATAATGTATATGTATATATATATATATTATATATATATATATATATATTATATATATATATATATATATATATATATATATATATATATATATATATATATATATATATATTAGAAGACTCATTAATGGAAAGGAAGATGATGGACATAATTCAAGGTAAAGGTCACACGGAAGGAAGGAAGGAAGGAAAGGGGCGTGTCCACTGGACTCGTGGACTTCGGTATAAAAGGGACTCGCTCGATGGCCGGAGCATCACTCTTCTACCTCCATCATGTTCACTAAGGTAACAAGTCTTATCAGTCTTGCTTATTAAGAAACAGTAATGTTTATTTTCGTGTTAATGTGTCTTGTGCTGTGTTAATGGGCATAGAAAGAAAATAACGTGTAATCCAATATATTTCTTCCCTTCTAGGCTGTCGTTGCCCTCGCCCTCGTGGCCGTTGCTGCCTCTGCTCCTTCTCAGCCAGCCTATGGCTATGCACCTGAGCCTGCCTATGAGGTTTGTATTTTTTTTCTCTCTCTTTTTTTCAGAATTGACAATAGTAAGAGTATAACTGAATTCGTAAAGAACTAATATCTTTTTACCGGAAATCTGCCACTGCGTGTTTCTAATTTTTTGTATCCTCTCCAGGTCCCTGCCAAGTACGACTTCAACTATGCTGTGAAGGACGACTACTCCGGCAACGACTTCGGTCACCAGGAGACCCGTGATGGCTATGACACCCAGGGATCCTACTACGTCCTCCTTCCCGACGGTCGTCTGCAGAAGGTCGCCTACACTGTCAACGGCGACTCCGGTTACGTGGCCGAGGTCAGCTACGAGGGTGAGGCCCAGTACCCTGAGTACAAGCCTGCTCCTTACCATCCTGAACCTGCCTACAAGCCAGCTCCTTACCATCCTGAACCTGCCTACCAGCCCTTACGCACCTGCCTACAAGCCTGCCCCTGCATACGAACCTGCCCCTACCTACGAGACCACCCCAGCCTACGCTTAAATGAACTTTGATTAAGATATTTATTAAAATGAAATTCTAATAACATTGTTCTTTCTTCCTATCAAAACACACGGCTGTCTGTTGATACTATCGGTGCAGCTAATAGGGCTGGAGATAGCACTCGTGATAATAGAAAAATATAGGTTTTAGAAACAAAGACACTGACATATGAATTAGTCACCGTCACCCGTCTGTAATATGAACTAATAACTTCAAATGATTGTTTAAACGTCTCACTTTTTACGAAGTAGGAGCAGTTCCATTGATTTGGATAAAATCGTTGCAACGAACATCTTCCTAATATCAAAATCTATTTTGATTTTGGAAGCGCGAGCCTATTGACTTTCAAAGGCGGAAATGAGCATTGTTCTAATGGAGGCATACATACATGCATTACAAACATGTAAGACATAGCTTTCTCATACATCCGGTCCTCTTTCACCTTGAAGATGTTAACGAAGCTGTCAGTCATCATGGCATCTCACAGGGGGACAAAAGGTCGATAATTTTTCTAATGAACTTTTTGAAAACCCGATTACTTTTTTTTTTTTTTTTTTTTTTTTTGTCGTAAATTCACACTTTTCGGTGTCGGGCAGCATGTGGACCGTACATTCCTTCCGTGGAAAATCGCACACATTTAAAGATATACTTCAAAATTATTATCTACATGCTTTTCAACCTCTCTCTCTCTCTCTCTCTCTCTCTCTCTCTCTCTCTCTCTCTCTCTCTCTCTCTCTCTCTCTCTCTCTCTCTCTCTCTCTATATATATATATATATATATATATATATATATATATATATATATATATATATATATGTACATATATGCATATATGTGTGTGCGTGTGTGCACATAAGTTTGAATTTACATTGCTTCAGGGATATCCACATATGTGTTTAATCGCACTTGGTTTATGCCACACTGAAGAATTTCTTTTTACTGTTATCAGAATTATAAGCTATAATTCAGTATGATAATGCTGAAATAGTTTTATAATTGAAGAATGGAATGCACACACATACGCACACATACACATGTTTTATGTATATATTCAAATATATGTATACATATGTTTATGTACATATATGTACATGTATGTATATGTATATATATGTATACGTATGTATATGTATATGTATTATGAATGTAGACACACACACACACATGTATATGCGTGTGTGTGTGTGTGTGTGTGTGTGTGTGTGTGTGTGTGTGTGTGTGTGTGTGTGTGTGTGTGTGTGTGTGTGTGTGTGTGTGTGTGTGTGTGTATGTGTGTGTGTTTGTGTGTGTGTGCACTTCTGTATGTGTGTGGCTTTACACTTTCAACATCTTGCACTGCAGCTAACAAAGCCTTGGTCTGCAAATTGGTACATGACCGCGAAATTAAGTTCAGATTATAATGAAGCTCTTGATTTGATACTTTTTAATACACGTCATAAGCTGCATTTATAATTAGATGTTATATTGTTACAAAAATGACAAAGATAGTTATGGATAATTCAGGTGACCTTAAAAATATAACTCATTTAGTATTGCAGCGTCATTTTTATTATCTAAAATTCTGAAATCAACTGATTATATATACATATAGTGCCTACACTTTACTGCTATTTTCTCTAAGGAGTATAAGGCCGTTTACTGAAAGGTAGATGATTGATATAATTCAAGGTAACGAATAGGGCGTGACTACTCCACTAAAAATGAACTGATAGATGACCAGAACATCACACTTCATCCGCCTTCATTATTTTTACTATGGTAACAAATATTGATTAAGCAGATTTATGATGAAGGATAGCTTCGCATATATATATATATATATATATATATATATATATATATATATATATATATATATATATATATATATATATATATATATATATATATGCTGCAAGTCAGTATGCATAAATAGGAAAGGATCCCAACACAATATATTGCTTTCTTCTAAGCTGTCTTTGCCCTCGGCCTTGAGGCTGTTGCTGCCTCTGCTCCTTCTCAGCCAGCATATGATTTGCAACATTTAGGAGATTAGACACAATGGAAACGGCAATAACACCATGTAAAATATTTATATATTATGGCGGAAATTCCGGTACAGGAGTAAAATCATACCATGTAATCTTTCAGGGTCCCTGTTAAATACGACTCCAACTTCGCCGTGAAGGATGACTACTCTGGCTACGACTTCGATCAGGAGACTCTGGATACGAGGCCGAGGTCATCTACGAGGGTGAAGCCGAGTACCCCGTGTGTAAGTCTGCCAGCAAGCCTGCTCATTCTTGCGTGACAATTGAATATATTTTTCATTGAAATTTACTAAAGTGAAGTTCTTGTACCACTCATTTGTTTCCCTATGAACATAAGTAATAACATAAATGTATATACGTTTAAATAGTAGTTGACATCTCAGTGATAACATTGGGTTTATATAAATCATCATATAACTCTAAACCATTATGTTCATTCGTACATGAACTTACCTTTGCCTCCCAGAAGATAGTTCAAACATTCAAAGTTAAAATCCGTTTCATTTCCTTGCAGACCGTGTTACATCTTACGACAAATGCAAAAGAATAAAATACAAAGAAGCAAAAAATTATCTAGTTTTAAATAACAAGATTAGATAAGTATATCAAGAGGGGCATATTTTCATATATGTATGCATATACATTACATTGTGAGGATCTTGTTTATCGCTTGGGACTCCCCTGTTCCCCTTGCAAGACATTTTTACTGACAGTGACACCCTTGCATGGTGTGCTTTTAATTATGGAAGCGATTGTGCATACGCATTCATAAACACAAAGAGAATATTTATGTACAGTCATATTTATGACTGGATTCGTACATGAATAAACGATTTCCCCATCCTTCTGGGGCAGACACCGTGATCTTTGCCTTGGAAATGTTAAACCCAGCAATCTCCTTCGTTTATTTTTTTTATTTTTTATTTTTTTTTTTTTATAGCGTCGACTATCCAGCCGTTAAGAAAAGAAAAGAAAGAGAAGAAAACATGAAAAGAAAACAATTTGAACAATTCCGACCACCAGCAAGCAAGTCGCGTGATCGTATTTTTCTTTGAACATTTTTTTTTTCGCTTAGGACCTGGAACATTTGTACAAAATTAGAATGCAAAAACTAATTTTCATTCGTAAGACCAATACTTTATGCACGTAATAAATCTATTATCATTAATTTCATTTAAATGTTACAAACTTGACGTAGGCTGAGAAGTAGAACCATAAAAAGGAAGAGAAGCAGATACAGCCAGAAGGAAGAGGGCCATGTAACAAAGATTGCGGTGTCTGCACTGGAAGGAAAGGAAAGGCTTGCTTTATATATGTATTTATGCATATATGTATATGCATAATGACAACCGTGGCTTGGTGTGGCAGTGCTTCTACGTAACAGACGTCATGTAATAATCCATTCTTCATGGGCAGTTCCCTTTAAGGCAACCTTGTGTGTATGCCACTCACCAGTATCCCAAGTATAAGTGAGACAAAAAGTTACTGTAGTTGACATTAACCATTCTGAAGTTTCATATCGGAGGCGGAGGTGTGTTAGTCTGCTTTTTAAGTATGTCCAATGTTTTTTTTTTTTTTTTTAATTATTTTATTTATTATTATTTTTTTAATGCTTCTAAAACTATTGTTCTACATGATTAAGAATTTCTCATGGAGATGTATGGTACTACGTAGAAAATATTCACAGTTTTTATAGACATGGGTATTGTGTTAACAGTACCAGTTCTCTTTATGTTAAGGGAATAAAATATACGTTAATAGAATTTCAGTTTAATAAATAGCAATCAATTTAAGTCCGTTTAAGCGTAGGCTGGGGTGGTCTCGTAGGTAGGAGCAGGCTCGTAGGTAGGGGCGGGCTTGTAGGCAGGTGCGGGATGGTAAGGAGCTGGCTTGTAGGCAGGTTCAGGATGGTAAGGAGCTGGCTTGTACTCGGGGTACTGGGCCTCACCCTCGTAGCTGACCTCAGCCACGTAGCCAGAGTCGCCGTTGACGGTGTAGGCGACTTTCTGCAGACGACCGTCGGGAAGGAGGACGTAGTAGGATCCTTGGGTGTCATAGCCATCACGGGCCTCCTGGTGACCGAAGTCGTTGCCGGAGTAGTCGTCCTTCACGGCATAGTTGAAGTCGTACTTGGCAGGGACCTGGAAAAGTTACACAAAAATAGAATCCCATCATACCAAATATCTCAGTACTTTACAAATACAGTAATATTGTTATTCCATTCACATATTCAAAATCTTACAAACCTCGTAGGTAGGCTGAGGAGCATAGCCATAGCCTGGTTGAGAAGGAGCAGAGGCAGCAACGGCCACGAGGGCGAGGGCAACGATAGTCTAGAATAAGAAACATATCAATTAGTTCCTTTCCTTTATAGGTAGATCAGCATATGCAATTCTGCAGAATAAGGCACAGTTGTTTCTTACTGAAAGATATCTCTTATCATAATTCTTAAGTAACTAGACATGACAATTCTCACCTTAGTGAACATGATGGAGGTAGAAGAGTGATGCTCCGGCCATCAAGCGAGTCCCTTTTATACCGAAGTCCGCGAGACCAGTGGACACGCCCCTTTCCTTCCTTCCTTCCTTCCGTGTGACCTTTACCTTGAATTACTTCCATCATCTTCCTTTCTATCAGTGACCATTTTGCGCTTGAGGAAATTAT